AGCTAGCTATACCTTCTTTGAGCTCTCTGAGTACTTTATTTATTTATTTAAAAAAATCTCCTCTCTTATCCTTTTTAATAGTTCTGTGGTGTGGCATTAAATATTATCCTCTGAGAGGCTTTTGGAAAGGTTGAGAGTTTTGGGAGGTATTTTATTGCCATGTGTTATGTTTCTGTTATTTTTTTCTTGTTCTTGTTTTGCTGTTTTTTGTTCTGAGGTTTGTGCATTGATTATAATGGAAGAATTTGTATCAAGCATGAAGACTTGTTTAGTTTGCTTTGCACTGATGTACTCAGGTTATGGCTAACTGTAGACCTTTGCTTCCTTGCCAAGATCTAACTGTAGCCACTTTCAGGCTACCGTAGTAGTTATAGCTACTTAATTTACAGGACTGGATTTGCCCAAAGCCTCTAACACCGAGGTAAAAGCAATATTAAAAAGTTTAATAAACTGTTAATTGACACATACATAATTACACAGAAGGAAAAAGAAGTACAGAAAGAACATTACATCACCAGATGGCAAGAGCTTTAAAACATGAAATTCCAGTTCCAATGCTAGGGAGTCCTAGTACATGGAAAGTTTAATAAACTGTTAATTGACACATACATAATTACACAGAAGGAAAAAGAAGTACAGAAAGAACATTACATCACCAGATGGCAAGAGCTTTAAAACATGAAATTCCAGTTCCAATGCTAGGGAGTCCTAGTACATGGATTTCAGGGTTCTGACTGGGAAATGTGTGGGAAGAGCATTCTCTCCACGTATGAGACTCCAAAGTCCTACCAGTGAGGCCCCTTAAAATGGTAGTTGAGTGGCAGTATCCCAACTGTGTGTGTAACCAGAGTTCTTGTGGCCCCCAAGAACTGGCCAAGTGCCTGGGGACAAACATTTGTGTCTTCTAGATAGATAGAAAGATTGTCCTTAATAGCTGGCCAGGCTTATGAGTTTCTGTTCAAGTCAAGATGCTCTGCCAGGTACCCCACCATCTGATTTTTAGAACAAGGCCACAGCACTCAGTTATGAACAAGAAGATCTTTCTATACTTTAACCGTTCACCAACCACCACCATTTATTTGAGAGGGTCAGCAATAAGTAGAATGGGACCAAAAAACAATGTGCCATGTATTTGGTCCAGCACCTACTTCCTCAGGAATGGACTGCAGTATTGTTAATGATACCAAGGCAATCCAGATTAAAAAATCAGTTAATGGCAACAACTGTGCTATGTTGACTATAAATAAATCAGCCAGAGTAATAGGATAAGGACAAACTAGATATTGACATAACCTAAGAACTAGTATTGTACCACCCTTAACCATAGAAAGGAAATGTGTAACTACAGTGTTAACCTTGATTCACAAATTTAATTTGTTCCATAATTTTGGGGAAGATGGGAGTGTTTGTGTTTGTGCAGGGAATATGGCATGTCATGTTGGTCAGCTAATGCAAAGTTTGCAAATGGAACCAAAATTTTGCCTAATCCTTTTGTGCATGAACTGAATTGTTTGCAAACAGATGCATTCGTGTACTAAGGTATTACTGTATAGTATAAACACTAAGACAAACCAAATATTAACATACAGTAAATATCTACTAAATGTAACAACTATACCTCTGCTACAACAGAACAGTATTCACCAGTAATGCTTAGAGTTTACTATTGAAAATATTCATAAAGCTTAATGGTTGCACTGGTAAAGAAGAGTGGTTAGGGAACCAGTTAGTGAAAAAAGTAGAATTTAAAAAGTTAACCCATAGAAGATGAGAAAGAGGAGAGAAATGTGAGATAAAGGATCCAATTGAGGAGTAAAAGGAAATTAATACTATTAGATAAAAGAAACAGAAAAGAACAAAGAAGGTAGAATAAAAAAACCCCAACAAAATAAAGAAAAAATAAAACTAGGAGACAAGAAACAAAGAAAAAGGGGGGGGACCCCAAACCTCATAAAAGCCAGTGAGAGAAAAAGAAAGAAAATTTTGAAGTGAAAATTCCTCTGAATGAGGGATTTCTTTCCAGAATCCTCAGTCTTAGAATCCTGCAGGTCATAGTTTTCTCCATTTGGCATGATGATCTGTTGGTGTGGAGGTACACCTGGTGCAGAGGGCACTCTTTCCATATATTCTAGACTGTGACAATCACCAAAGCCAAGGTGTGTCCTTGCTCACTTCCTAGATGGCGAAAGTAATCAGGCCATTGTTTTCTGCTGGGTGTAGGCTGTGGGCTGGGGGTTCAAGCAGACTACTGCACTTGATGCTGTCAGATCCATCTGCCTGTTAAAGCCACACTTGCTGGCTGTACTTTCTCGCCACAGAGGGCAGGGCCTGTCTCTGTCCTGGCTTGAGTTTAAACTTCTCAGGGGGTCTACTATGCAGCCTACATCCTTCTCGTGGCTTTCTCTCATCACTGGCTCTCACACCGGTCACTGTGGGAAGGTAACACTGGAAACCCTGAAGTGGAATTGTTCTGTAGTTGTTCTGTGGCTCAGTCAACCCCTTTGCAAAATGGATCCTGATTGAACTCTTTCTGGCAATATGGCAAAGTGTGCATTGATTTTCATCTCTAATCTAGCTTTCCATGAAGGAGTCACGTTTGGTATAAAATTCTGTGCTATATTTGTAGTTTACAATAACCATGGGCTTTTGAGGGGGCTACTGCTGCTGGCCAGGTATATTTTATCTCCCTGGGGCTACTGACTCTTCAGAACTTACCTTCTCTTCCTGCATGTCAACATCATCCATGATAGAGTCGGTTGGTTAGTTAGTTGGCACCTCTGCTGCTCAGTGTTGAGGAGAAACAAAACACACTGTGGGCATGAAGTTGGTGGTGGCCACCGCCAGGGTATAGAATCCATGCATGCAAAATTGTTTGCAGGAATTCTTTTAAAAAATATTTTGGTAAGATCTACACACTGAAAACTATAAAACACTACTGAGGAAAATTTTAAAAGCCCTAACTAGACCTGTTTATGACTTAGCATATTTGATATTGTTAGAAAGTTAATCCTCCATAAATTTGTTTATAGATTCATTGCAATCTCAATCAAAACTCACCAGCTTTTCACCTACTACATATTGACAAAATGATACTAAAGTTTATGAAGAAATGCAGAGGACCTAAGCAGCAAAAACTATTTTGAAAAAGGACAAATTTAGAGAATTTGTAGTACTTAGTTTCTGGACTTACAATAAGCTGCAATAATCATTTCTTTGTGGTATTAGCATGAAGATAGGCATGTAGATTAAGATGACAACACATCAGTGGTCCAGAAATAGTTCATAAATATTGGATTAACTGATTTTGAACAGAGAATACAATGGAGAGCAGATTGTCTTTTTAATGGTGCTAGAACAAGATTTCCACATAGAAGGCAATCATCCTCACACTATCCACAGTTCAACTGCACCCACAGACCCAAGTGTAAAGGCAAAATTATGAAGCTTCTAGAAGAAAACATAGCAGGAAATCTTTGTAACTTTTGAGTAGGTTTAGATCTCTAGGATAATACACCACAAACAACCACAATCAAAAACCCTCCCACAAACCATATAATGATAGATACAGTAAACTTCATCAAAATTAAAAACTTCTGGTATTTTTTTTTCTCATTGAGTTTATTGGTACTTTTTAGGTATAGAGTACAGTTACATTCATCATTGGGAAAAACTTCTGGTCTTTATAAAACATCAGTAATAAAATGAAAAGGCAAGCCCCAATCAGGGGAAAAAATTGCCAACAGTTTCTGACAAAAATCTTATAGCGGAAATATATAAAGATTTCTTATGATTCATTAATAAGACAACCTAGGGAAAAAGATATTCAGATGGCCAATGTATACATAAAAAAGTTCAACACATTATTTACCAATAGGGCCATACAAGTCAAAACTACAGTGAGATTCCAAAACAACTCACTAAAATGATTACAGTGAAAACTGGTGGTGCGCCAAGGATTTAGCTCGTGGCACCACGCCTGGCTTTGCAACTGCAGGGTTGTGAGTTTGATCCCCAGTATAAAACAAACAGAAGCAAACAGGTGATAAGGGCTTGGGTGGTAGCTCAGTGGTCAAGCATTTGCTTGTCATGCACAAGGCTACAGGTTCAACCTCTGTCACCCACTCCCTTTAATCCCCAAAGACTGAATATCTGACAAGAATGTGAAGCAGCTGAAACTCCGATACACTGCTCTGGGAAACTAGCCATTTCTTAGAAATGAAACATGAACCTACCATCCAGAGCCAGCAAGGAATCCCAGTCAGTTATCAAAGACAAAGGAAATGTATGTCCACAGAAGATGTACCCGGATGTTCATACCAGTTCTGCTGGGAAATAGCTTAAATCTAGATGTATGCCAAATGGCTATCAGCTGAGGAGTAGACAGTTTGTGATAGATCCATATAATGGAATACTGCTGTGGAAAGAGAGGAAGCGGTGACTGATTTATGCAGCATTATGGATTAATGTCAAACATTATTTGTTGAACAAAAGAATCCAGGCTCAAAATTCTATATTCTAGGATTCCATTTACAGGAACTTCGATGGCAGACAAAACAGAGAAGTGAGATAGTTTGGGGGCTGATGAGCAAGGGTTTGTCATAAGCATAGGGGTCCCCTGGGGTGGTGATTCCTGTAGTAACCACAAAGTTGTTACACAGATGTGTGCATTTTTTAAAGCCCAAACTGTACTTAAATGTATGCATTTTATTATAGGATGCTAATTTGGAAAATAGAACAAAAAGAGGACTATTCCCAGTTCCTAAAATAATAACACTGAGTTTTTTCTACAGTGAAATAAAGCAAATGAGAAAAAAAAGAAATTTAGTCTTATTCAGAAAAGCTTTTGAGTCTTACTATTATTCTATAATACATCAAAATTGAATCATATTAAAAAACTAATAACTGATCAAAACACATCATCCTTGTAGTGTTTCCCAATGGCTTTATTAGGAGTTAAGTCAGTGGAATTTGTTTCTGTTTTTCTTTTCCCCAAAATACAGAATATAAATCGTATGAAACAGATATCTTCTATCACCAACCAGGAACTAAAGATGATGCAGGATGATCTCAATTTTAAATCTACTGAAATGCAAAAATCACAAAGTACAGCTAGGAATTTGACTTCAGGTGAGTGATGGTCTAATCTTTCATACTTTTCCTATAACAAATTACAACTGTAAAAATGGATCATTGTTATTCTCTTGGACTTTTTCTGAAAACCTCAGTGAGGAAAGATATAATTTATAATTTCCCATTACCCTGAGCATTTGTAGTCTCAATTTTTGTGTGACTTTTCCAATCAACTTATTACTATTACATTGCTATATTTTCTTTTATTTAATATTTATTGAATATAGTTCCCTGACTTATGATGATTTCTGGGTTTTTTTTGAGACAGTCTCACTATGTAATTTAGGCCAGCCTGGAACTCACTTTGTAGTCCAGGCAGGCCTTGAATTTACGGCAATCCTCCTGCCTCAGCCTCCCAAGTGCTGGGATTATAGGTGTGCACCCTTACTCTTGGCTGCTTACAATGATTTGACTTAGGATGTTTTTGTCTTACTGAGTTTATTGCTACTTTTTAAGTATACAGTACAGTTACATTCATCATTGGGATCTTGTACCTTTACATGACAGGTCTTGGTTCTCATTTTTCCCCCTTACCCCCGCTCTCCCTGCACCCCCTCCACTCTCCCCTATTTATAAAGACTTTGTTTCTATTTTTTTCCTTTTCTCATACTTTTTTCTTTCCCTTATTTCATTTCCTCTATCCTTCTCACTTCCCCTACACCTTTAGCCCTTAGTTTAGGATTTTTTTTTAAAAAAACGTCACAGTGCTGCTTTTTACACTCTACTTCGTATGTGGGGGTTTGATCTTATTTTGGGCTAGTGATAATGGAGTTTGAAGCTCTCTCATGATGCTGGGCAGCAGCAGTGTGCCACAGCTTCCAGTTAGCCAATCAGAAGGGCAAACAGTATTCTAGAGTGTGTGTCGTTGCTAAGTTACGAGGTGCGGGGGGGGGAGTATACTAAGTGCATTTTTGACAAGATATTTCCAACTTATGATAGATTTATTGTGAAGTAACCTTATACTTCATGTCTGTACCTTATCCTGGGAAGTGTTACAGATAAAACTGGACGGCCTGGGATTTAGCTCAGTGGTGCTGCTGCCTGCCTCGCTAGAGGAAGGTCCTGAGTTCCATCCCCGGTATCGAAAAAAAAAGTTAGAGGTGGATGCTAAATAGTATGGACAAAGTTTTATCAGTAACAGTGTTACGTGATGTAATAAGGAAGACGGTCCATTGTGAACTGAGTTCAACTTTAGTCTGCACCGAGGTGTCTGGGCATTTCTGAAGGAGTATGAGGCATCCAGGGTTCCACTGAAAACTTGCCAAGGGTTTGTCATTGTACAGCAAATGCTGATTAGGCTAGTTGTTGTCTGTTGTATTACCAAGGTTAGGGCTCTGTCTTCCCACAGAGACTGTTGATTACTTCGCAGGGCCAGGGATGTAGCTCAGTGGTGCCACTGCCTGCTTTGCAAGCACAAGGTCCCGAGTTCAATCCTTGGCACCAAAATAATAAATAAATAATACTTCACAAAGGAATAGCTTGAGAAATCAACACTCCTGATTGTTCAGTGTGTGTGTGTGTGTGTGTGTGTGTGTGTGTGTGTGTCTCAAAGGGACAGTGGAAGGGACAATTAAAAGCTCTGTTTTTTTCTTTGTGTGTATGTATGTGGGGGAGTGTTGCGGATTGAACCCGGGATCTTCATACTGAGTCATCCCCCAGCCCCCTTTTTAAAGTTATTATTTTGAGGTATATCTAAGCTGCTTAAGTTGCCCAGGGTGGGCTCAAACCTGTACTCCTCCTGGCACAGCTGCACCGCTGTGGTTTGTAAACTGTGTTTGGTAAACACTCTAGGAAGGTTAGTCTGGAGCCTGTTGTAAGGGGGTTGGTTAGAACAAACAGCAAATTCTTTTGGCTGCCTTGGGTTATTGCAGGCAAGACTTTTTAAGGGCCAGGTAGGGTGGTCCTAGGAAAACAGATGTTAGAGTTATGAGGTTAGGGTAAGATGTTACAGTTGTGTTAGTGTTTCTTTGACGTGTTTGTGACAAAATCCTAATTCACATGTCACGCTGCCCGGCAGCTCCGGTCTGACTTGAATTTGACCAAATCCACAGGCTTGAACTGCCAGAGTGGTGCACGCGTGACTGTCTCGTGTGTCTTGTACCACTTCTTAGGGGTCTTTGATTACAGTAATGCAAAGAAGGACATTGATTTAGTAGTTCCTTAAGGACTTTATTACAGTCTTTAAGGAGAACATTAAAATGGTATAAAAAATTGTAATACAGTAATTTGTAGTACAACAGTTGTAAATGCATATTATATACACCAGCAAGGGTGTACTTGTAAAATTTCCATGTTAAATTTAGAGAATTATTGATAAACGATGAGTATAATTTTTTAAATTTAATGAAATAAATTTGTTGATTATTAGAATAATTTTTAATTGGTATGAATACAATTAACATTTATATTTGGGCAGTCAGTGTGGATAGAGAATGGAGAATGAATTCATCTATGTCAGAGATTGGATAAAGAAGATGTGTGTGTGTGTTTTTTTATAAAACAGAGTACTACTCAGCCATAAAAAATGAGAAACTAGAGACATTCATAGCTAAATGTTTGCACATTGAGGCCCTACTTCTAAGTGAAATAAATAGGACACACATGTGTAAATACTGAATAGTTTCTCTGGTGTGAAAAACTGAAAGTGTATATAAGGATCAACATGAATAGTTGATAATGTGAAAAAGGAAGAAAAGGTCTAAATGGGTAGGGGAAATGGGAGGGGTGGGGAAAGGAAAAATATGAGAAAATGAAAGTATGGAAACAAGGAATCTGGAGGTTTTTTTGAAGAGTTTTACCGGGGATTGAACGCAGGTCCTTGTGCTTGCGAGGCAGGCCGCAGAACCACTGAGCTAAATCCCCGGCCCGGAACCTGGAGATTTTATGGGTCACAGCTGAGGCCTATGTGAGACAAGGCCAAATCTGAGGCCTGTTTGAGAAGAGGCTTCAGACAAGCCTGACTACTAGTTTGGTCAGAAAGAGAATCTCTGTCAGTGTGCAGAGGTTTTAAAAAAAATTCCAATCTGTTTACTGAGGGAACTTTCAACCTGGTAGAACGACAAATTATAATAAAATGAAATAATGCCATCAAAGAAGTAAACATAGGGAGCGGTGAAGACGGATAGGGCACAGATCCAGCCCAATCTTAGATAATTAGGGGAAGCATCCTAGAGGAGGTGGTGTTCAGTTTTAAGTAACAGTGCCAGACATGCTCTAGCATGCAACTAGAGAAGAACTCTCCAAGAGAAATAAAATGCAAACTATATTTCTAATTAAAATTGCCTCATAACTCTATTTTAAAAAGTATAGAGCTGGGCCAGGCATGGTAGCACACTCTTGTAATCCCAGCACTTGGGAGGCTGAGGCAGGAGGATCGCTGTGAGTTTGAGACCTGAGCTACATAGTGAGTTCCAGGTCAGTCTCAACTACATAGTGAGACCCTGTCTCAAAAAAAAAAAAAAGTATGGAGGTGGATTTTAATAATTCACTCAGAATATCCAAGAAAGTATCATTCAATGTAAAATATATATAAAAATGATCAATGAAATATTTTATATTTATAATATTTTAATTCAGACTAGACCACATTTCAAGGGACTGGCAGCTGCTGTGGGAATAATGCAGGTAGAGATTAGTAGCAGAAATACAAAGTTGAGCTTAAAGAAGCTGGGATAAAGTTATGTAAAGGTGTGTGTTGAATCTTTGATTTATGAGCTGATGGATTCTGACTGTGGGTCTTTTATGCTGGTGGGTGGTAACTGAATTAGCCACTTTTTTGTCTACTTGGATTTACTATGGTAAATCTCACTACTATGGTAGTGAGATTATAGAAGATGAAGAGGTTTTTTCCCCTTTGGTAATTAAAAACGTTTAAAGATTCTTTTAATGGAATAATAGATTCTAAAAAGATTTGGGCAGCACAATCTAACCTGACCTGAAGTGAGGTCATGAGGCTGTGTGTTATCTGTCATAATCCCACCTCGTGTGCTATTCCTAGTTTTTGTTATCGAAAATACGTATTTAATGACAGGGTGCTGTGTCAGGCCCTACTATATGCAGTTATCAGTACATGCATTATATTGCTTTTAAAATTTAAGGGATTCTGTTTTCTAAAGCATAACTTGCCATCTAAGTGTGGCGGCACACACCTGTAATCCCAGCATGATGGGAAGCTGGGGCCTGAGGATGGCAAGTGGAGCCTAGTGAGACTCGACTTAGTGATTAGGGAGACGCTGTCTCGGAAAATACAACAAATGAAATCAAATAGCCCTGGGTTCAATGCCAATGCAAAAACAAAAAATCAAAAACAACCCACTACTGCCCAGGCATTTTAGATAAAGGGTTATAGATTTGTAATATATTGAGTTTGTTAGGGATTTGATCATGTTAAAGTATGCTGTGACGCCGCCATCACAGGCTGCATTTTTCTGGTGCTTCTTGGCTCCTAAAATGACCTCATCCTCTTATCTTTAGTTTCCCTCCCACCAAGGCCACAGAGAGACAGAGAAGTTGAAACCTATTTCTGCTGGGCTGAACCCATCAAAGGCAACCTGACCTGTGATAGGTTAAAAGTGGCCCACTCATAAATAATCACAGCCCGGCCCAAAACTGATAAAAGGACCTTCCTTTCTTTGTTCCTCTCTCTCTTCTGCTTCTTCTTCCTCCTCTCTCTCTCTCTGCTTTCTCTTTGCTCTCTCTGCTCTTTCTCTCTGCTCTCTCTCTCTACTCCCACCCCTTGAATAAAATCTCTAGTCAGACCTCTCGGTGTGTGTGTGGCCTAGTTGTTGAGTGTTGCTGTTCCCTTTCAGAGTTGAACTAGTGTATCATTGGGTAAGAGTGAAGATATAAGTGGACAACTGTTGTTATTCTATATATTTTTTTTCTCTCATTGAGTTTATTGGTACATTTTAGGTATACAGTACAGTTACATTCATCATTGGGATCTTGTACCTTTACACGACAGGCCTTGGTTCTCATTTTTTTCCCCTTATCCCTGCCCTCCCTTTGTTTAGAGTTTGTTTTCCATAGTTTGATTTCTAGGTCTGATTTACAGGTCAAACAACTGCAGGAGTTACATTCTAACCTTGGCTTAGATGTACAAATTTCTTATATCTGAAAATCATGAGTTTGTTTACCTTTCAGGGGTAATATATTTTCTGTTCCACTTTTGTGAATTGCCAAGGGGCAATATTGCTTCTTGGGTGGTAGAAGGTGAAAAAACGAGATATTGTAGCCTTCCAAAGAGTCACTGTACATAAACAGATAAACTGTCACCTATGCTATAAATCTTTCAGGGGAGTGAAGCAATTGGGTAAAAAGCCTATAAAAAGCTCCTTACAAGATTGATAATGAAAAAAAAAAAAAGTAGACACCGGAGGTGTACTATGTGGTAAGGAGGTAAAGAAACCTTTTAGCAGTAGTTTTTGTTTACACTTTTGGAAAGGAAACTCTAGGGAGTAAACAAATGTGCTGATGGCACAATATTTCAGAAACATTTGCCTAGGTCACAGTGGTTCCTTCTGAGATTTTGCTGCTGTATACACATGGCTTGGTAAACTTTGCAACTTCATAGCATATCAGAAGGAACTAGACTGCATCCTCTTCCTGTCTCTTCTCCTCCAGAAGCTTTTAGCTTTACAGGGGACCTGTTGTTAAGGATAGATAAACCTTACCCTAAATGAGCCAACCATTTTCTCCTCTATTCTAGAAATATCAGTCTGTGTAGTTCTTAAATATATTTTTTAGTATATACTTAAGTTAGTTACATAACTATGTTAGGTCAACATAATTGTTAGAGTTAGTTACATAACTGTTTATTTCAGTTAGAATACCTATAAGCTAAGCACATTTCCTATTTAGAGCGTTAAAACTTTGTAAGCTTTAGTGACTTCTTTAGCACTTTATCATTGTATTTCCAATCCTAGTAGAGCTATGTATTCAACAAAACAAAACTCTTTGCAGTACTTAAGTCCTGATATATGTGGTCTTGGGGTGATCAAAACATGTGCTGAAATAAAATTTATTATAGTAAAAGAACACATTGTCATTAATTGCCTGAAAGTACTTCCCCTTGCTTTGAAATACTTATCTTATTTGTCTTGGCAATGTGTTTTTTATTATGATTTTTTAAAGAAACATTCATTGTATTTTTGAGCACCATATATGTGTGTATGTGTGTGTATACATATACACACATGGGTGTGTGTGTGTGTGTGTGTGTGTGTATAGTCAGTATAGTTGTATTTTAAAACTTGAAGGGGATAAGGAAATATTGTAGGAGCATCCATTTAATTATACCAACTTTAAAATATTTGGTTATACAGGCACCACTTTTTAAATCGGTGAGGGACTTTTGAAACATTGTTTTTGCTATTCATCTCCATTTCTTGTGACTATTAGATGTTATTAATATTTAATATACTGAGTTTCTGTTATTTGGTCTGGGATGCTATGCTTTATTTTCTCTGCACTTCATATTCTTTGTTTTCTCTGCATCATTTTTTTCCTTCTTTGTTTGGTTACTAATCCTTAAGGCCTCATTAAAAGCCCTCTTTAGGGAGCTTCTGTTTATCCCTGCCATATGCTCTTATGGTGTGCTGTGCCATGATCATCCAGTTTATTGTGGATACTTACTTGCCTGGTTCTACCTCTGGGATACAGCTCCCTCTTTTGACCTCTATTACATCCTCACCACCTGGCATACTTTTGAATGAAAGAATGCAATTCATGCACATGTGTATAGTCATTCCTCATTGTTCATTGATTCTATTTGTGAACTTTGCTGTTTGCTAAATTGATTTATAGCCCCAAATTAATATTTGTAGTGTGTTCTATATTTCACAGAACTAGAAAAACTAATCCAAAAATTCTTTTAGAACCAGAAGAGACCTAGAATAGCAAAAGCCATCCTAGGCAACAAAGATATGGCAGTGGGTATAACAATCCCCAATTTAAAACTATACTGCAAAGCCACTGTGATAAAAACAGCATGATAGTGGCAAAGAAACAGACCTGAGGATCAGTGGAACAGATTGGAAGATACAAAAACAATTCCAGATGTACTCAGCTACCTTATCTTTGACAAAGGAGCTGACCATCCTCACTGGAGGCAAGATAGTCCCTTTAATAAATGGTGTGGGAAAAACTGGATCTCAACCTGCCAAAGATTAAAACTAGACCCTTATCTTTCACCATGCACTAAAATAAAATCCAAGTAGATTAAAGATCTAAATATTAAAAAAGGAGCACTAAACTTGCTGGAAGATAAGTTGGGCAGAACTCTTGAAGCCAATGGCATAGGAAAAGACTTTATGAATAAATCCTCAGTAGCATGGGAACTAGCAGAAAGAATCAACAACTGGGATCTCATCTTATTAAAAAGCTTCTGCACTGCAAAAGAAACCATCAGCAGAACTAAGAGACAACCTACAACGTGGGGAAAAAATTTTACCAGCTATTCCTCATACAAAGGACTATTATCTAGAATATATAAAGAACTCAAAACAATCAGCCCCCCCAAATGTAAAGACCCAATTCAAAAATGGGCATCTGAAATGAACAGACATTTCTCAGACAAAGAAGTAAAAGCAGCTTGTAAATAGATGAAAAAATGTTCCACATCACTGGTCATTCAAGAAATGCAGATGAACACAGCACTCAGATTCTACCTCCCCCAGAAAGAATGGCTGCTATCAAGAAATCACACAATAACAAATGT